GAGTTGATGCTTAAAAATAGCTAAATTATCTGCCGATGGAGTGAGAAAAATAATGTTGTTTCTGTTTGAATTATGATTATTTTTCTCACCGCATTGGCAGATAATTTTGCTTTTTTTAAGCATCAACTCACTTAATTTTGATTAATTCCCCCAGAAAACAGGACATAATATCTTATCATTTTACTCATCTAGTAAATGCATCTTGATTTAAGAAATGTTTGATATTTGGACTGGAAACGAGACAAAAATACTGAGTAAAGCATGTTTTGCAGTGCTGCTTATGGATGAAAGCGTGTGCTTAATGATTAAATGTAAATGTGAAGCGTGTGTGTTTATCAGGGCCGTTCATCAGCGTCCTTCTGTCTCGCCTGGAGAACATGCTGGAGAACTCGATCGAGGTTAATCTGCTGGTGACGGGGCTGTTAGCTCATCTGGCCTCGTTCCCACAGCCGCTGCTGAGAGGCTTTCTGCTGAACACCCGGCCCGGCCGGCGCTCGCTCTACCAGGTACAGCACACCTACAGCACACTATACATGCAAAACTATAGTGTGTAACAGTTACACAGGTGAAATATCGTGCAAAAGTTTCAGTAATTCAACTTAAAAGCTGAAACTAATATATTATAGACTCATTACATGCAAAGTGAGATATTTCAAGCCTTTATTTGTTATAATTGTGATGATTATGGCTTACAGATATGAAAACCCCAAATTCAAAATTAGAATATTGTGAAAAGGTTTTCATATCTGTAAGCCATAATCATCACAATTATAACAAAGGCTTGAAATATCTCACTTTGCATGTAATGAGTCTATATAATATATTAGTTTCACATTTTAAGTTGAATCACTGAAATAAACGAAGTTTTACACCATATTCTCATTTCTTGAGTTTCACCTGTAATTGTTTTAGTGCCAGTACTACATTAAACTACTATATATAATGTTGAATATAAAACATTTCAAAGAATTGATTCTTAAATCATTGATTATTCCAATTTTATTAAACCATTAAAATGTAATCCAAAAAACTTAAAACAGAAAACACAGAATTTGGTTTGAGTGAAAAATATATATATGTCTTATTTCATAGGGCCCTAAACATGTAATTTATTTTTAAATTTTAATAAATGATTGTTAAATTGTATAAGTTTCATGATTTCAGTTAATTAGACAAGCTTTTTTATTACTAAAATTTAATTTAACCGTTAAAATGGGTGTCCAAAAAAACAACATTTTCACACTTGAAGTAAACTTTAACTGAAATAAAATAAAATAAAATACAAAGAAATATTTCAGTATCAACATCTCTCTTTTTTATTTAGTTTATCTTGTATATATATATATATATATATATAGAAATGACAACAAAACACAACAAAATTACTAAAACCTGAAAACAGAAAGTGTTAAATTAAAATAAACTCTAAATATTAGTAAACACTATAGGAGTATAGAAGTACTGCACAGTGCAGTCATGTATCATGTGATGCTCTACAGCTGAACATCAGTGTGTGTGTGTGTGTCGCAGGTTCTGCAGTCGGTGTGTGTTCAGATCGAGCAACACGCGGCGTCCCGTCCCGATTTCCCCGAACTGGTCCGTGAAGCCGCCCAGTACCTGCTACTCAAAGACCAGGCCTTAAAAGAGCAAGGTGTGTGTGTGTGTGTGTGTGTGCGTGTGTGTGTGTGTGTGTGTGTGTGTCGTCCCGTACGGATCTTTCTGTTATCATGCTAAAACAGTCTGTGCTGGGGTATTTAATGTCATTTAATATTTAACAATATTATTGATCTGCCTGCATTGACACCATTATAGATATATATATATATATATATATATATTTTATTTTTTATTATTCAGTGCCATGAGAACACGAGGTATTACATATTCACATTACATTAGCTGCCAGGAAATGAAAGAAAATAAATAAATAAAAATAGGAAAAAAAAATAGAAAAATGACATAAACTCCAGTGCTTTCAAAGCATTACATGTTTTCAGCGCTTTGTTTGTTCCAAAAGATTTACATATAGTTTAAAATAGTGAAAAAATTGGTTTCCATTTAACCCTACTTCTTTTTATCTTTTTAACTAAATAAATAACTGTATAATATGTTGTTCTTTACATTCCCAGTTTAAAAAAAGCACATCAAATACACACATTTCTATCATAGACTTCAGTTTTCTACTAATAAAGGTTTCTAAGTCTTTCCAAAATAATCTTGCGTAAATACAGTGAAAAAAGAGGTATGTGAAATATTACGCTTAAATCTTTCCAAAAATATGCTTCGCAGGATCAATTCTGTGGTGTTTTGTAAGACCCTTCTTTAATTTTGTTATTAACACAAAACTTATTTGGCAATTTCCATGCTTTGACACAAGAGATATTAACACATAAAGAAGATTTGCTGCAGGAAAAGACCAAACAAAGAGCATTTCTTATTATTTTGACACTATTATATGAGAACTGAGCTGGACGATGACATCACGCTTTCTCCAGAGCGCCTATATATATATAAATGAACTAAATTAATAACTTTTTTACCACAGAAATGAAGCATCACTGAACGTTACTTAAGCTGGACTGAGACACATTCTCTTCTGGAAACACACTTTGTTGCATTATTGTCCTGTTATCTCTGTAAAGCTGCTTTGAAATGATGTGTGTTGTGGAAAGCGCTGTGTCTTGACGGTGTGTGTGTGTGTGTGTGTGTTCCTCCTGCCAGAGAGAGATGCGCACCTGCAGGATAATAACAGCACCGGCTGGCTTCTGAACGGACTCGTCCCGGGTCGTCCACGCACGCCTCTCCCTCCGTGTCCCCGGATCCCTCCGGCGCTGCGCCACAGGGTGTTCGCCACGTTCCTGTTCGCAGAGTTCCTGAAGGAGCTGGCGGCCATCGCCCAGGAGCACGCCATCGTCCCGGAGGAGTGAAGACGCTCACACTGGGAGCTTCTTCCTGACAAACGCAAACGCCTCTCTCCTTCTGTCCCGGTCATGTCCCGTGCCGGACAGTTTTCACTGTGAACAGCCAATGTGTCACTTGACCACTTAGACTTATTAAAGGGATAGTTCACCCAAAAATGAAAATTAGCCCATGGTTTACTCACCCTCATGTCATCATAGGTGTATATGACACTCTTCTGCTCTGATTGGTCAGACGGCCCAGTCTGTTGTGATTGGTCTGCTCTGCTCTGATTGGTCAGATGACCCAGTCTGCTGTGATTGGTCTACTCTGCTCTGATTGGTCAGATGACCCAGTCTGCTGTGATTGGTCTACTCTGCTCTGATTGGTCAGATAACCCAGTCTGTTGTGATTGGTCTGCTCTGCTCTGATTGGTCAGACGGCCCAGTCTGTTGTGATTGGTCTGCTCTGCTCTGATTGGTCAGACGGCCCAGTCTGTTGTGCGTGGTCTACTCTGCTCTGATTGGTCAGATGGCCCAGTCTTTTGTGATTGGTCTACTCTGCTCTGATTGGTCAGATGGCCCAGTCTGTTGTGATTGGTCTACTCTGCTCTGATTGGTCAGATAACCCAGTCTGCTGTGATTGGTCTACTCTGCTCTGATTGGTCAGATAACCCAGTCTGTTGTGATTGGTCTGCTCTGCTCTGATTGGTCAGACGGCCCAGTCTGTTGTGATTGGTCTGCTCTGCTCTGATTGGTCAGACGGCCCAGTCTGTTGTGCGTGGTCTACTCTGCTCTGATTGGTCAGATGGCCCAGTCTTTTGTGATTGGTCTACTCTGCTCTGATTGGTCAGATGGCCCAGTCTGTTGTGATTGGTCTACTCTGCTCTGATTGGTCAGATAACCCAGTCTGTTGTGATTGGTCTGCTCTGCTCTGATTGGTCAGACGGCCCAGTCTGTTGTGATTGGTCTGCTCTGCTCTGATTGGTCAGACGGCCCAGTCTGTTGTGATTGGTCTGCTCTGCTCTGATTGGTCAGACGGCCCAGTCTGTTGTGATTGGTCTACTCTGCTCTGATTGGTCAGACGGCCCAGTCTGTTGTGATTGGTCTACTTTGCTCTGATTGGTCAGACGGCCCAGTCTGTTGTGATTGGTCTACTTTGCTCTGATTGGTCAGATGGCCCAGTCTGCTGTGATTGGTCTACTCTGCTCTGATTGGTCAGATGGCCCAGTCTGTTGTGATTGGTCTACTCTGCTCTGATTGGTCAGATGACCCAGTCTGCTGTGATTGGTCTACTCTGCTCTGATTGGTCAGATGACCCAGTCTGCTGTGATTGGTCTACTCTGCTCTGATTGGTCAGATGACCCAGTCTGCTGTGATTGGTCTACTCTGCTCTGATTGGTCAGATGGCCCAGTCTTTTGTGATTGGTCTACTCTGCTCTGATTGGTCAGACGGCCCAGTCTGTTGTGCGTGGTCTACTCTGCTCTGATTGGTCAGATGGCCCAGTCTGTTGTGATTGGTCTACTCTGCTCTGATTGGTCAGATGACCCAGTCTGCTGTGATTGGTCTACTCTGCTCTGATTGGTCAGATGGCCCAGTCTTTTGTGATTGGTCTACTCTGCTCTGATTGGTCAGATGGCCCAGTCTGTTGTGATTGGTCTACTCTGCTCTGATTGGTCAGATAACCCAGTCTGTTGTGATTGGTCTGCTCTGCTCTGATTGGTCAGACGGCCCAGTCTGTTGTGATTGGTCTGCTCTGCTCTGATTGGTCAGACGGCCCAGTCTGTTGTGATTGGTCTGGTCTGCTCTGATTGGTCAGACGGCCCAGTCTGTTGTGATTGGTCTGCTCTGCTCTGATTGGTCAGACGGCCCAGTCTGTTGTGATTGGTCTACTCTGCTCTGATTGGTCAGATGACCCAGTCTGCTGTGATTGGTCTACTCTGCTCTGATTGGTCAGACGGCCCAGTCTTTTGTGATTGGTCTACTCTGCTCGGTCAGATGGCCCAGTCTGTTGTGATTGGTCTACTCTGCTCTGATTGGTCAGATAACCCAGTCTGTTGTGATTGGTCTGCTCTGCTCTGATTGGTCAGACGGCCCAGTCTGTTGTGATTGGTCTGCTCTGCTCTGATTGGTCAGACGGCCCAGTCTGTTGTGATTGGTCTGCTATGCTCTGATTGGTCAGACGGCCCAGTCTGTTGTGATTGGTCTGCTCTGCTCTGATTGGTCAGACGGCCCAGTCTGTTGTGATTGGTCTACTCTGCTCTGATTGGTCAGACGGCCCAGTCTGTTGTGATTGGTCTACTTTGCTCTGATTGGTCAGACGGCCCAGTCTGTTGTGATTGGTCTACTTTGCTCTGATTGGTCAGATGGCCCAGTCTGCTGTGATTGGTCTACTCTGCTCTGATTGGTCAGATGACCCAGTCTGCTGTGATTGGTCTACTCTGCTCTGATTGGTCAGATGACCCAGTCTGCTGTGATTGGTCTACTCTGCTCTGATTGGTCAGATGACCCAGTCTGCTGTGATTGGTCTACTCTGCTCTGATTGGTCAGATGGCCCAGTCTGCTGTGATTGGTCTACTCTGCTCTGATTGGTCAGATGGCCCAGTCTGTTGTGATTGGTCTGCTCTGCTCTGATTGGTCAGATGACCCAGTCTGTTGTGCGTGGTCTACTCTGCTCTGATTGGTCAGATGACCCAGTCTGCTGTGATTGGTCTACTCTGCTCTGATTGGTCAGATGACCCAGTCTGCTGTGATTGGTCTACTCTGCTCTGATTGGTCAGATGACCCAGTCTGCTGTGATTGGTCTACTCTGCTCTGATTGGTCAGATGACCCAGTCTGCTGTGATTGGTCTACTCTGCTCTGATTGGTCAGATGACCCAGTCTGCTGTGATTGGTCTACTCTGCTCTGATTGGTCAGATGGCCCAGTCTGTTGTGATTGGTCTACTCTGCTCTGATTGGTCAGATGACCCAGTCTGCTGTGATTGGTCTACTCTGCTCTGATTGGTCAGATGACCCAGTCTGCTGTGATTGGTCTACTCTGCTCTGATTGGTCAGATGGCCCAGTCTGCTGTGATTGGTCTACTCTGCTCTGATTGGTCAGATGGCCCAGTCTGCTGTGATTGGTCTACTCTGCTCTGATTGGTCAGATGGCCCAGTCTGCTGTGATTGGTCTACTCTGCTCTGATTGGTCAGATGACCCAGTCTGCTGTGATTGGTCTACTCTGCTCTGATTGGTCAGATGGCCCAGTCTGCTGTGATTGGTCTACTCTGCTCTGATTGGTCAGATGGCCCAGTCTGCTGTGATTGGTCTACTCTGCTCTGATTGGTCAGATGCGTCTTCTCGACATGAACAACACGAACCAAACTCTCCCAGTCTCAGATACACTACAGTGTTTGAGGGCGGAGCTAAGAGACTCTGTTCAGCCAATCACAACCATTATGCAAATGAGTTAGAAACATGCGCAGCTTCACTGGACTGGAATTATCGACGACTCGTTTCCGGCAGTTCAGAATCACTTTCCTTCTTTTAGAAGACAATAACTTTATTCATCTGCACTTTGATCTTTTAAACTTTGCACAGCTTTTCCAGCTTTATTACACACTACATGAAAGGAAAAGGCATAATAGGGCACTTTAAAGCAATCCGGGCCTCATGTGTGCAAGTGAACCTTTATTGATGAATAATTTGATTCGTATATAATGATAATGGCTACATTAAAGGAACAGTTCACCTCAAAATAAACACACATTTTCTCATCCTAAAGTCGCTCCAAACAGGTATTATTTTTTTATGCACAAAATAAAAACAGTTTGAAAAGAATCCGATTTTTGTTTGAGAAAACGCTTGTCAAGCTCCATAAAGGACAAATAAAATAATATAATATCATCCGTCCATGTGTCTCATCATGCTCTATATTCCAAGTCATACGATAGTATTATTGTGAATTATTATTTCTCAAACTATGGCACCTGTGGCGGGTGAGTAAATAATAAGTAAATTTTAATTTTTGAAAGAACTATTCCTTTAAAAACCTTTTGTGTGTGTTTTATTTTATTCAGATTCATGTCGGTTTGTGTTTTACATTATATGGCCATAACTTGTTTATAGATTAATCACTGTAATTAGATGTTTATCATTTACATTTCAAACATAAAGTATCTTTTTTGTCTGTGTGAACCTTCATGTGCATTGGTTGGTGAAAGTGTAATTATATATGAAGGTGGTTGATAAAGATTTTTTTTTTAAAGAAGATATTTACTTCGCATAACATGCACTGATGAATGATTCATAATTACACCAGGAACATGAATTAAGAAAGTGAATTTAATTTCATGTTGATTTTAAGCACCTATTGAAAATGTTTTAAATTCTATTCCGGTGAAACCTGATTTGTCGAAATGTTTAATTGTATTGAAGCCAATGGGAACTTTTCTAGGCCAATGTGAGATTTTAATCCACTGTGTTTGTTACATGATGATGCTTGCAACATTTTCATTTTATTTGATTTTCCGCAGTTTAATTCTGTCACTGAAGTCACTTTAAATTCTGTCATTTTCAGCTACAAAATGACTGAGAAATCTAGAACTCGAATCTATTGAGAAATCAAATGCAACTCCAAATATTCAATATGGCTGCAGATGATGTGAAGCCTTATTTTGATGTGTATTTGTACATTTACAATTTGTTGAATAGATGATTTTGAAATGTTTTATGACCTGTTGTCACTGATGTCAATGTAAAGTTTTGTACACATATTTTTACAGAACAGTCTGTCACGTGGACCGCAGAAAATGGTTTGTTATGAGCCTTTTGTAATATTATTCTGCCCTCTAGTGGTAAATTAAAACTCCATTTGTGGTGTATATTCATATACGTGTGTGTGTGCCTGTGTATTTATAATGTAAAAGATAAATATAGGCAGCTTAATGTAGAAAGAATATATTGAAGATGCCACTCTTGAGCCACAACGTAAAATAATTAGTAAATAGAGATTTTATTTTGTACATATATTGATAAAACATTAGTTAACGCCACATTGCAATATATGAAACAATTCAAAAGGATTTAGATCAGCATATATATATATAATATTACTAAACATACACGATTTACAATACTTTCACCGAATAAAAACAGCTCTCATATATTTAAGACATTGAAAAGTGTGTTTGGCCTTTTCACACCAATTGGTCATTTTTGGCTCAAGATTTTAAAAACAACAAAAATGTATATGTTTTTATTATAGTGCCACCTAGTGTTGGAAGGTTGATGGTTTCTGAGTTTCTCACCAAGTTTAGAGTCTCTGGGATTTACAGTTTCTGACACTTTTATGGCAGTATAATACAGTTTTTTACAATCACTTTGTTACTATTTTCAGAACCTTGATGTCATTTTTCAAAACTCTAGACACAAAACTCAAAACGATAATCACTTGTAACACAGGCTGTCTAATGTTCAAAACATTGATTTCAACAAATTCACATCTTTAAAGAAATCTTGCACTTGCACAATCATTGGTTCAAAAAACAAATTAACTGTGAAATACCATTGAAACATAACTATAGATCACCCACACACAAGCAACCGATAGTTTCACTGTGTCATTGTTCGTACAATCATTAAATATTGTAGAGCAAAATAGGTGATACAGGTTTCATTATGGTACTACATGTACAGTAAATACATCTCTGTAAAAGTACTGCAGTAGTAGAGAGAATATTACAGACACAGTGGAATCATTGTGAACAAAGTTTGTAATATATTGATGCAAAACACTACAGTACAATCACAACATGGTTTTTTGAATCAAAGCAAAAATAATTAGCTATGAAATAGAAAAGAAAAGACAGTACTGTAAAACATCAAATGCAGTGTTCCTCAACTTGCTGTAAGAAACTAAACAGGAGTGATTACTGTACTTCTACACTGTCATCAACTCTGTGTTGTGGATTTGGCCACAGGTTCTCATCTACATCACAATGGATGTTGGAAAATGACATCTTGGAAAAAACCTTTGGCATGGCGAGTCCAGGCCTGACACTGCTCTGCTGTGATTGGCAGAATTGGACACGCAGTTACAAGGGCCTGCATCTATACAGTACTGTACTGTCAATACTGTACATAGTCTGAAAAGGTGGTACAGTATTTGGCACCATAGACACAGTGTCTGATGAAGCATTACAGTATGATAAAATATTAGGCTACATCCATGGATATTGTAGTCTAATTGGTTCATGCCATGCTAATTGGTGACAATGAATCTCATTATCTTGAAACTTTCATGATTTACTGTAAACATGAAGATTGTGTGTCTGTTTCCATACAACTATGCATTAAGAGTAATGCAAAAGTTACTTATCATTTTGAGCAGTTGTATCAATTGATAGTTAGATCATTGTAAGGAAATGAATAGACACTCATTTGAAATGTAATGTGTGAATTGCCTTTTGAAATAGTAGTACTTTGATGTTAAAGGAGCTGTATGTAAGAAATGTATTTCAATTAATCATAAAATGGCCCTGATGTGTCTCTAGACATTAAGAAATCATGTCCATTTCAAATACTTATATCACTGACAACAGTAGTACGGCCACGATATTGTCATTTAAAAAGTGCAGTTGCAGCCCTCAACTGATGTTGATGTTGTCATCTTGTGTTTTGGCCTGAAGCCCCACCCTCCACCTATCTACCAATCACGAAGTCAGTAGTGTTGCGGCATCCGGGTTGCCAGCTCTGCTCTAGTTGAAAGCTCCTTGTGGCAGCCTATATTCCTGCTGGATCCTGCAGCCTATCTGGCAACCTCGAGTCAGGGGGGAGGGGGAGGGGGAGGGGATACACCGCTCTACAGTAATTTGAAAGTGATTGCAGTACCAATTTTGGCCACAATCCTACATACAGCTCCTTTAAGTTGTGTCATATTGAACAGGTGATCTTTGTTGAATGAACAAATGATCTAAGTTTTATGTGTATTGTATCCAAGCAATTGAGAAAAGGGTTAGAGTTTTGAAAAATGTGCTTTTTGATCATTGGTTGTGAGTTTTGTGTCTAGAGTTTTGAAAAATGACATCAAGGTTCTGAAAATAGTCACAAAGTGATTGTA